CACCACCACCACCACCACCATCAACACCATCACCATCATCACCACCAACATCACTACCATTACCACCACCACCACCACCACCATCACCACCACCACTACCATCACCACCACCATCATTACCACCACCATCACCATCACCACTGTCCCCACCATCACCACCACCACCACCATCACCACTGTCCCCACCATCATCATCACCACCACCACCAATATCACTCCCATCACCGCTGTCCCCACCATCACCACTACCACCACCATCACTGCCAACATCATTACCACCACTACCACCATCACCACCATCACTGTTATCATTACCATCTCCACCATTACCACCACCACTACCATCACCATCATTACCACCACTACCATCACCATCATTACCACCACCACCACCACCATTGCCATTAACGCCATCACCATTACCACAACCACCATCGCCCCCAGCCAGAGCAGGTGCTGTATCCCAATAGCAAGTGTGCCTCTGGACTCCAGTGACCTCCCAGCCTCTTTCATAGCTAGAGGTCAGTAATGGAGGGAAGGGACATGGCCTCCTTCCAGAACCTTCCTAGAACTGTAAGCATCTGTTCCATTTTCTGTCCCCAGGACTCTGTTGGAAAAGCCCAGTCCTACCCCATACTTGCCACGCCCCCCTCTGCCCCAGCCCCACCCCACTGTCAGGACAGAGGCTCCCTGGCTGAGCACCGCGTGACTTCCCACAGCCCCGGCTCTCTCGTCCTTGGCCTCACCCCTCTGGGTGGTGAATTCGAAGATCTCCGAGCTCTCGCCTGGGTTGAAATGCCGGAAGTAGGAGCAGTTCTTCTCTGCGAAGAAGGAGACACTTGTGAGTGGGGAGATAGCGCAGGGGCCTGGGAGAGGGCTGGCCCCGTCGGGCACAGGGTGGGGTGGGGGAACCTCTGGCTGGTTCTCTTCCCCCAGATTCTGAATCTGGGCCCAGAGTAACGTGCCGGCAGGATGAAGCACCTGCCCTGGAAGCGGGGAGCTCCTGGGGGAGCTAAGGCAGAATGAAGCATTGGTCCACAGACAGAAGGTGGAGCCTGAGCCCATTGAGCAGCCTGGAGAAACTGAGGCCCAAGTGGAAGTCCTGCATCAAGGCTACAGGGGCATAAAGTCAGTGGAGATTCAAATGGTGATTCTGTCCCTGGCAAACATCAACCATGCTGGGAGGCCTTTTGGCAGAGAGAAGGGGTATAATAGGTAGAGGCCAGGGGGGATGCTGAACACCCTGTCACATGGGTAACCTCCAAAATATCAACAGTCTGAGGTTGTTGGGGTGCACGGGGTACCCACCAAGTCTAGAGCTATGATTCACTGGCTGACCCGGGTTGCAGCATATTTTACAAAAAGACAGCAGGCGATTCTGAAACTTGTCATGCAGGGGACCCCGCGCTCCAGGGGCTATTTGTGAAATGGAGAGGGGTACTGACTGCTGCCCGAGCAGCCTCCAGGACCTGGGCCTGGCTGGCAGCCACCAAGACCACCTCTGGCAAAGTGCGGACCACCTGACCACCGAAGCCACAGCCCTGAAGTCACCATGGGCTGGGGTGGGGGTGTGAGGGGAGTAGAGCAGCGAGAAATGCGTGCAGATGTGAAATACCATTTCGCTTCATTTCCTCTTTCAGTGTCTTTCCCGTAAGCAAGCTTGTCTTACAACACCAAAATATAGTCTTATTGTTTGCTGAGTACATTTAGCAGTCTGATTTAGGAGTAAGTAGGCAAGTGGGTTATTTTGCATCGTTGTATGCTTCCTTCAAAGGAAAACTAAATCAGGTTGCTTTGTATTTGTGCGAGGTCCCTCATTGATTTCTTGTTCCTATGGTTCCTTGACCCTCAGTCTGCAAACATCTTGGCTTTTGGTTGAGATGGCATTGGATTTAGGACTTGACTACTTTTCCTCCAGGGTACACGTGAATGGCCATAAAGAGGCTCACGCCCAGTTTCTTCTGGAAATGTCCCCCAGGGACTGCCAGCCACGTGGCTTTTGCCTGGAAGATGGCTTCCTTCTTATCTTGCTACATAACTTTGTTGTTGTTCTTGGTGGTTCTGGAGTCTGAAGTCAGGGCCTCACACTCGCTAGGCAGGTGCCCTACCACTTGATCTATAACCCCAGACCTATCTTGCTTTAGTTATTTTTCAGGTAGGGTCTTGTGTTTTCACAGCAGCTGTCCTCAAACCTTGATCCTCCTATCTACAGCCTCCTGTGTAGCTGGGATGACAGCTGTGAACCCCTGCACTGAGCTTATTGGTTGAGATGGGGTGGGGGGGTGTATCTCTCTAACTTTTTACTGGGGCTATCCTAAAACTGTGATCCTCCTGCGACTTCTCCACCTTCTGAGAAGGGGAGATTGTAGGCATGCGCTACCTCATCTGGTCTCTGGATATTATATTGCCACTTGATCCTTTTGTTTGTCTACCTACCCCCTTCCCCCCTCCAAAGTTGAGGTTGCGCCTCTCCTGAGTTTGAAGAAGGGGGCGATGGCTGAGGATGACATCTGGGTTAGCAACAGTGAATACTGCAGGAGCTACGCATCGTTCTCTGCCAGCTTCTATATTTAAATCATTTTCCTTTTGAATGGAGTTACCTGAGGAACTGACCTCCGGTACTGATGTCAGAGCGCTTGGCTTTTTCCACTCACAGCCTCTGCTGCTATTTTAAAGCATAATATAAACCTCTTCTATTTGTTAGATTATTGGCTTGTAGATTCTCTTGAATTGCTGCTTCAAAATGGCTCACACTCTGTCATAAGTCCCCCAGGGTCTCCCCTGCACAAAGGAACATTTCTGTTTTCGTTCTTGAAGGGCCAATTTCAGTTGTCATTGAAAACCCTCCAAGAGGAATGGGCTGGATTCAAGTGTATTTCACGGTCAGCTGCCTCCCTGACTGCTCGCCTACCTTCTGTGAGTTAAAAGCCTTCCGAGCGGGGGCCGTGGTCCCGGCCACCCTGACAGCCAGGCCGGCTCGGCTGGTGGCCTTTGCTCGGTTGCTGCGGCAACTCTTGCTCAGGGCGTGTTTGGGGGTCAGAAACAGCAGCGTCCACTCTGGGCAGATGTGCGTGCTGGCTTTGGGGTACGAGCTGAGCTCACATACAGGGACTGAGCCGAGTCCCCAGGACCGGGTTCCATGCTCTGGGACAGATGTTCCCCCCACCCCTCCTTGGGATAATATTTCCTTCCCTTTTCTTCTGCTTCTCTGTTGAAGGTCCTCAAACCAGGGCAAGGGAACAGGGAACCCTGTGGATTGGATTCCTTCTCAGGACATGTTGGCTGCTCTCCCACAGGTGGGGCCTGAGCTAGATGGGCTGCCCCATATCTTCTCTTGGACTTAGACATGATGGAGGGGGCAGCATCCTTGAGAAACATCTACTCCAGGGAGCACGGCTGCCAGAGGGAAACCACAGGCTCTTCCTGGTCCCTAAGGTACAGTGGGCAGAGCAGACTCAGTATTGTTCAGGGGAAATCGTGCTGGGCAGTTGCAAGAGTCCCCCAAAGAGAGCACAGGGGCCTGTTAGATGGACAGACACACTCCGACTTTGCCCTCGTCCCTCTGTCTAGGTCTCTATCATGCAGGACACTGAGCGTCAAGGCCAGCTTTGAGAGGAAGGACGTGTGAGGCAGGCCGGAATGGGTTACTTGGTCCCAGGTAAGGCTCTGGAGGAGGGAGACAGAGACAGTGTGCAGACTGCAGGTTCTGAGCCTCTGCCCCTCCCCCTCCCAGCTCCATCACCCTGGCGCCCAGCTGGGGGCTTGCAGCGCTGCCGTGATGGGCTGCAGTCTCTTCACGGGGCAGAAGCTGGACGCGTTTAGAGCAAGTGTGGGGAGATCCCGATGCCTGGAAGATGATTCAGGGTGATAGGTAGGCCCTCCAAGTCTTTGTTATCGCTGCAAGTGCTTTACAGGGATTGGAATATTTCTTCTTTTATAAGACTCAGTGGTCTGAAATGGGAGTGGGTTTTACCTTTAAAAATAGATGAGCTCAGCTGGGCGTCAGTGGCTCACACCTGTAATCCTTGTTGCTTAGGAGACTGAGATCTGAGGATCACCGTTAAAAGCCATTCCGGGCAGGAAAGTCCATGAGACTCTTATCTCCAATTAATTATCACCAGAAAACCAGAAGTAGGGCTGTGTATGGCTCAAAGTGGTAGAATGCTAGCCTTGAGCAAAAGAGCTCCCAGACAGAGCCCAGGCTCTGAGTTCATGAGTTCAAGCCCCATGATGAAAAAAAAAAAACAAAAAGATTAGCTCAGCTGGGTGTTGGTGGTCCACGCCTGTAATCTGTGCTATTCAGGAGGCTGAGATCCAAGGGTCATGGTTTGAAGTCAGCCTGAAAAAGTCTGTAAGACTCCAATTTCCAGCACCAAGAAAAGGCAGAGGTGGCACTGTGGTTCAAGTGGTAGAGCACTATCCTTGAGTAGAAAAACTCAGGGGCAGTGCCTCAGCCCTGATTCAAGCCCCAGGATGGCGCATGCATGTGTTGTGTGTGGGTGTGTGCACGCACACACACTCACACACACACACACAAACCAGATGAGGTCATTTTTAGCTGTCAGCTAACTGCATGTTCTGGCCCAGGGAGTTACTGGTTGTGCAGAACTTTAGGTAGTGGGCCAATTTCAGGGAATCACATCATAGGGGATGACTCTGGGTTGTCACTAAGAATGGAACAGGGTAGCAAGTACCTGTTGATGGAGAGTTTAATTATAAATATATATTTATATGTATATGTATCTATGTATAGTATATATAATGTATATATAATGTATGCATGAATACACATAAACACATGCACATCTCTATCTATCTACCCATCGATCTAGCTATCTCATTCTCTAGCATTTTGGTTAGCCTGTTGTTTTCTTAACTGTTATTGGCTGTCTCAGGAAGCCATGAGGTTAACATGGTCTCTAATTGTTTTTACCAAGTTCACACTGGGTAGCTGTTCATACTGGATGAGCTCAGAGTCAGATGAAATGATAACAGCTTTACAAGTGGAGACTGCCAGGGAAAGACCAAAGAAGTCAGACAATGACAATGCTCTGGGTATGGGGCTTTGAAAGAGATCCAGCCTTCTTTGGTTCCATTTAGAAGCTACTAGGCTACTGGTTTTCACTCATTTTCCCTACCAAGATATTGTTTGTAATTTTTTTTCCAGTTGTGGGGCCTGAACTCTGGGCCTGGGTGCTGTCCCTCAGCTCTTCAGCTCAAGGCTAGCACCCTACCAGTTGAGCCACACACCACTTCCAGCTTTTTCTGCTTATGTGGTGCTGAGGAATCGAACCCAGGCCCTCATGCATGCAAGGCAAGCGCTCTACCACTGAGCCACCTTCCCAGCCCCCAGGATATTGTTTTTGAGGCTACAAAAGAGCAGGGAGCAGAGGGGATGAGGATCGGGCAAGTTAACACATCATAAAACTCATGATTTCTCTGGGGAGCTGCTCATTTTCTTGGATAGGCACTTGTTGGGTTGCTACAAGCATTTGGGTAGTTCTTAGAGTTGGATAATTTCCAGTATTCCTCATTGATTTTTGTGGAGGAAAGATTTCAGGGGTTATTTTCTTTTTGTCAGTCATGAGGCTTGAACTCTGGGCTTGGGCACTGTCCCTCAGCTCTTCAGCTCAAGGCTAGAGCTCTACCACTTGAGCCACAGCACCACTTTTTCTGGTGGTTCATTGGAGATAAGAGTCTCATGGACTCCCCTGCCCAGGGTGGCTTTGAACTGTAATCCTCAGATCTCAGCCTCCTGAGTAGCTAGGATGACAGGCGTGAGCCACCATGCCCGGCATCAGGGGTTCTTACTTTATCCTTCCCCCAATATTACTCAAAGTTAATGTATACAAAGCACATGCTGCAATATATGCCACTCAACGATCCTTTATGTGTCATGATCACATTGGTCAATTTCATATGAGCCCTCTTCTAGAAAAGACAGGTCTCAGGGAGCACAGGAAGAGCAGGTGTAGAATAAAAAGATGACATTTCCAGAGGACAAAACAAAAAAAGAGTAGGGACATGCTTTGGAAGATGACTGGGGCCAGGCAGGGTTCAATGTCGCAAGTGTAGATAATTTGATTCATGGCAGGACTAGGGCCAGAGAGCAATGAGACAGGCCCAGCTCAGGCTCAAGGCCCAGCCAGGCCTGCTGTTCCCAGAGGCTGGGCCTGCCAGCCTGCCTCATCCCTGCTCACCAACTGGCTCATTGGCTCTGACTTTAAAAGGCAGACGGCTCCAAGAACAGGTGGACAGAACCATAATGTGTGTTCTAGGAGTGGTCTCTGAAGACGCTGCCCTGCCCTGCCCGGCCCAGTCCAGGGAATTGGCTGAATGTTGCCTCTGTGTATAAGTTTGCTGTTAGTGTCCAAAGACACTGGGCTACCCGATACCCGCCAGGCGCATGCCCGCACCTGCCACGGCCCTCCACCCTGGGAATCAGTGTTTCCAAGTCAGCTGAGTATTCACAGGTCTCTGGGTACCCAGTGTGTGTGGGTGGGGGAGAGGGGTGGGTGGGATGGGGGCGAGTAGCAGGGAAGAAGAGGGACCCGAGCACGCTCAGAACTGTCGTGAACATCAGCACAGCTGTCACACAGGCCCTCGTCCCCGCCACCTTGGAGTCATATTTGCAAACCCTGGAAGAAGGGACCTCAGGTTGCTGACTTGAAGTCTTGTCATTTATATGGGGGGGCTGAGACGGACCTTTCTCTTCTTAGAGAGCTCTTTGGCGAGGCGGTGGTTGAGGAGAGAGGTAGGTGATCGGAGAGCTCAGCTTTCTGATTCTCTCCCTGGAGCCATGTTGGCCTTCTTTCCCCAAGGTTTTACACTGGAAAGTCACACCAACACCTGGTCTCCTTGACCAAACAGCATGCCTGCCCTGTGTGGTCAGTCACATGGAAGGGAACTGGAAGGACGCTCTTCAATGATGGGGTGAGGAAATGCTGTGGAACTCAAGTGAGCTGAGCTCAGGGAGGCCACACAGTGAGAAGACTCCCCAGTCTGCTATCGGCTCCCCACCCCCACCCCGCCCAGCCCCAGACACCCCTCACTTGTTTCCATGCATCACTCTAGCTGGCGTGGAATTCTCAGCAGTTAGGACCAGAGGATGGCCGTGCATTGCCATTTGGCGTGTGTCCCTCCCAACTCTGTGCGTGTTGCTCGTGTTCATCCTGCTTGGTGTCTGAGGGAGCCCACCGCTCCCACAGCCCGTCTTGGTGGGGTGACCCTATGGAACTGGGTCAGCAGCGAGTGACCACCAGGGCTGCAGTCCACCTGCACTGTCAGGGTCCCCAGGTCAGCAGCGAGTGACCACCAGGGCTGCGGTCCACCTGCACTGTCAGGGTCCCCAGGTCAGCAGCGAGTGACCACCAGGGCTGCGGTCCACCTGCACTGTCAGGGTCCCCAGGTCAGCAGCGAGTGACCAACAGGGCTGCGGTCCACCTGCACTGTCAGGGTCCCCAGCATCTGCCCTGCGTGAGAAGCCTCACGGGATGGAAGGAGCAGGAGACGGCTGTCCTGTTTCCCATGGCAGCTGGGGCCCCGTCCGCTCCTCTCAGCTCCTTTTGCCACAGAGCCAGGCGTCTGCTCCATGGTGTTCCCGTGGGCAGCTTAGCTGGGGGACTGCACAGGGTGGGAGGTGGGGAGGGAGGAGGTGGGTGGGGGAGGGTACGTTACCCCGTGACAGCATGGCGTGGCCACAGCTCTTGTCCTCCAGGGTGTCCACGGCGACACGCGTGGTGCAAATCCTCCAGAGGCCGAAGTGGGCTGCCTCACAGGTGACATTGTGCTGCTCCAGGTGAGGGCTTAGCACGGCCCAGTGGTCCGTCACCACGGCCACCGTGGCCAGCACCGTGCCCACCAGGATGCAGAAGAGAGTCACTCGGACCTTCGCTGCTTGGGTCTGGGACATGGTTGGAGGGTGGGTGCTCTGGGCAGGAGCCGCAGGGGCTCCCAGAGCAGGTAGGGCCCAGCTAGGGAGTGGCGGGGGTTATGGGGTTGAGCGTGGATGCTAAGTTTAGTGTGTCTGGCTGAGCCAGAGTGGGCTGGGCCTGGGGCCGAGGGACGCTGGGCGGCCTGAGCAGCTGCCCAGACGCGTCAGGGGCCTGAGGGATACTTCTATTAATGCCCGTCCGCAGGCGTGTCACCGAAGATGCCTTCTGCTCAGGTTTCAGGGCTTTCTTCCCATCTTGGGGCCAGAAATACCCCCAGGGTGGGGCACAGAGAGGAGGATCTGATGATGACTGGAGATGTCTAGGGAGTGGAGTCCGGCGTCTGTGGAGGGGGAGCAGCAGACACCAGACCCACCAGGAGTGACATGATGTACCTGCGCTGGGCTGAAACTTAACTGCCCGGGGTGGGCAGGGGATTCTGGGAGCACAGGCTGTGAGGCCTTCTTGTGTCATGTCTCCAAGGCGGCCAGCCAGGCAGTGGGCAGGTCCTCTGTGGGGCTCAGGAGTGTGCCTGAGGACATCTCAGAGTGGGCCCAGGGCTCTGGAGCCCACCTCCCAGGCAAGTGCTTTACTCCCTAAGCTTCACCTTACTCCCTAAGCCTCACCTCATCCTTGTGCCCCACCTCCAGGAAGATCTTACCTGCTTTTCAGGCCTGGCCTTGCCCACCGATAACCCTGCCAGCATAACACTGCTTGCCTTTCCATTCACACCCTCCCCCTCAAATCCTCATACTACAGCCTAAAGAAAAGCATCTTAATACCTCCTCTCCTCTCCTCACTTCTCCTCCTCTCCCCTCTCTTCTTCTCTCCTCTCCTCTCTCTATTCTTCTCTCTCTCTCTTTAAAATTTCTATTTTCTTGTGATCTTTGGACCTCTGCCTCCTGAGTTACAGGGATTTCAGGTATGCACTACTGCACCCAGCCTCCTTGACACCTTTCTGGATGCTTGCAAACCATCCTTTGGAACCGGGAGGAAAAGTCCCACTGCCCCTATAGCCTCAGTTCCATGTCGTGGCAGGTCTGCTTTGCCTACTGTTGGGGGTCACTAATACAGCTTCTCAGATATATTTTCTTTTACAAAATACAAACTGGGTACCCAGAGCAGAGAACATAGGAAGGCTTGGGACCCTCTCCCTGATGAGGGTCTGCTTACTCCATGCTCCACCCCCACAAGCTGGCTTTCAGCTTCTAGCTCCTACATCCCTTCCGGATGCTGTCATTTCTTCTGCTTGGGCTCAGCATCCTTTCTGGGGTGTGTTTAAGAAGGATGCGTGATCAAGAATAGATCCCTGAGCTAGGCAGGGTCTTGAGCCTCACCATGTGGGCTTTAAGTCGACAGGTGACAAACAGACTGTGCAGCCTTGGAGATGCAGAATGCAGATGTTAATGCTTCAGCGCAGAGAGTTCCTGGTGCTCCAGACCACGCACTTGTCTAAGCACAAGCTTTACATGGGATCAACGTTAATCTTTAAACTAATCCATGGAGTGAGTACAACTAGCATTGTGCAGCAGGGAAACGGTGAGGCCAAGTGTCAACTTCAGCCCAAACTCTGATCCAGCAGCTAGAGCAGAAGAACACCCTTCAAGATCTTTTGTGGCCACAGAGGAATCCACAGCCCAGAGAGAAGACAGGCTAAGCCAGGATTAGCTGGGGAGCCGCCATCAGGGCTGAGCTGAGGCCTCCCGCCTGCAGCCTCAGGCTTGTGTTACCAAAGTGCTTTCTGAACTGTCACATTTACAAAACCACCTCCCCCCATTCTAATCCCTCAAGAGCTTCTCTCCAAACCTTCCAGCAGGGTTGAGTCATGACAGATGACTGAGTGCTGACTGGTTTGCTGACACCTGCCACCGTCCCTACTCAGCTCAGAGCGATCGCCAGCCTCTGTTCCTGTCCTCTTTTCATGCACTGCTCTGGGGAGCTGGGGAATGGCGCAGCCTTTGAACCCCTGCTCCTGCCCAATTCCATAATCTTACGGAGTGCTCGGCAGCCTCAAGCAGACCCACTGTGTGTCAGGGCCCACCCTCAAGGCAGCAAGTGGGGAGCCTGAAGTTTCTGGTATTTTTAAGACGGAACACCTATAGAAAGTGATTTTCGTGTTAGAAGTAAAGTGAGGTGCGATGGCTCAAACCTGTCATTTTTGCTACTTCAGAGATGGAGATTGAAGGAATCATGGTGTGAGGCCAGCTTGGGCAAAAATACCCCCAAAACTGTTCACAAGGCCAATAATAAATTGGGTGTGGTGGTGTACACCTGTCATCCCAGCTGTGCAGGAAATATAAATAGGAGGACTGTGGTCCAGACTGGACTGAGGAATAGGAAGATCCTATTTGAAAAACGGTGGAAGCAAAAGGGGTGGAGGTGTGGTAGAGCACCTTCCTAATAAGTGTAAAGTTTTAAAATCAAACCTTACTACTGTCTCACTCACACACACACATACACACACACACACACACACACACACACACACACAGAGTCAAAGATGGGGTCATTTGAAGAAATGCAAATATAGTTGAATTTCCTGGAAGGGGCTCCCTTTTGCTCTGGTGCTCTCTTCATAGCGCTTGGGAAATGCTCTGACTGGAGCAGGGCACGGTGGAGGAGGGGCCGTGATGTGGCGGGGCCTCAGAGGGCTAAGGCAGCCACAGGACCCCTTCTGCTGACGTGCCCTCACCAGTCCTTCACTCCAGCGTGAGAACTCGCATTAAACATGGATGGTCTCCTTTTGAAGTTGTCTTTGTGTAAGCTGGGAGCTTGGCTGGCAGCTGGGGCATTTGCAGGCAAGTCTCCTTTCTCTTCCTAGTTTGTTAAATCTCTTCAAACAGAGAGCAGAGATGCCAGGCTTTTTGCGTGCCCCATTCTGGGCCCTGCTAGGGCCAGGAAAGGGAGTCAGAAGCCCTGGTCAGGAGCCGTGGGCAGGCTGACCTCCACCCATTCCCAGGGTACCAGTAGGCAGAAGGGCTTCTCGGGCATCTCAGGCAGGCAGCAGAGGGGGCCGGTGCCTGGTGGGGGATGGAGCCAGCGGCCCCAGGATCACACCCTACTTGGCTGCCTTCCAACTGCGTGGCTTCCAGCAGGTCCTGAGCCTCTCTAAGCTGCTCTTTCCTGCCCTGTAAAAGGAGGGCAATGGGCCTGGAGGGAGCAGGGGTGGACAGCGGAGGATTAAGATGACGAGTTTTACCAGTTTAGCCCATGACAGATGTTGTGAAGTGAATTGTCCTCTGAAATTCCTGTGTGGAATATCCCAGTAAGATAGTGTTTGGAGATGAAGCCTTTGAAAGGCAACTAGATTTCCACAGATCAGGAGAGTGGGTCCATGTGAGGGGATTATCGAGAGAGCAGAGTGATACCTCTCTCTCTCTCTCTCTCTCTCTCTCTCTCTCTCTTCACCATGTGAGGACACAGTAAACTGGGGAAGAGACCTTGCCAGGGATCCCATCATGCAAGAATGCACAGAGACGCATATCTGCTGTTAAGTCATCCCATCCATGGTATTTTGTGGTGGAAGCCTGAGCTAATAAGTTAGCAACTGATCCATGATGCCTGTTACTTTAGGATGTGTACTACAAATGGATTGGTTTTCTCTTAAAGGCAGTAAGCTTCCAGAAGGCAGGTACACTGAGACTCTGTTAGGAACTACAAGTTTCCTTCAAGTATCCATCCAGATATAAGCCCAGGATAGGTTCTTCATTGCAGGTTATTGAATGACTCTTGGTTGGATGGATAGGTGGAAAAATGGATGGAAAAATGGATGGATAGAGGGATGGACAGATGAACTGAAAGAAGGTGACAGAAGTTCCTGAAGAATGGGAAATGATAGGCCTAGGGAAATATAGTTTGGAGACTGTTATTATTATTTATTGGCTGATTAAGAAGGAGACAGAAGTTCCTGAAGAATGGGAAATGATAGGCCTAGGGAAATATAGTTTGGAGACTATTATTATTATTTATTGGCTGATTCATGCATTCATCAAAAATTTATTGATCGCCTTAGGGTGAATAACGTAAGACACAAGGTTTTCTCTTGAGGACCCATATCTGACTTTAATAGAAGTCAGCAGAGAACCTTTCCAGTTTTTCTGTTAGGGTTCTTTGTTACTGCTTTAGTTTCATTGTGTTTACAGATCTCCATAGATTGCTTTGTCTTCTTGGTTCAGTTTTGGTCAATCATATGTATGTACAAATTTACCCATTTTTTCTTCTAGATTTTCCAATTTATTAGAATATAAGTTTTCAAAATATTGCCTAATGATTCTTCAGATTTCAGACCCTCCAGCGTTGAGTGGTTTCTGTTCTCTTTCTCTTTCTGCTTTTATTAATTTGGGCCTTCTCTCTCTTCCTTTTGATTAGTTTGGTTAAGGCTTCTTAATCTTGTTTATCTTTTTTGAATAACCAACTCTTTGTTTCACTAATGCTTTGTTTTTGGTCTCCATTCCATTCATTTCTTCCCTAATCTTTATTATTTCTTTCCATCTATTAAGTATGGGTTTGGCTTGCTTTATTTTTCTTATATGTAATTATAATTGCTATGTCTCCTTGGTGGGATTTTCCCTTTATTAATAGGCACTGAGCTTCTTTATCTAGATAAACTGAGTAATTTAGCTTGAAGTTGGCTTTGCCTGAGAGGTGAGTTTCTGGTAGTAAGCATATAGTTGGATCTTGCTTTAATCCATTAAGCCAGTCAACATCTCTTAATTGGAGTATAAGACCACTTATATTTATGATCCTAACTTCTCCTTTCCTCACCTTTGAGGTTTACTGGTTTACTGAGCTTATACTATTAGATTCGTTCCTAATTCTCATTTGTTCATTTGTTCTCCTAGTGGGACGTGTTCTTTCAGGGGTGCTTAAGCTTGTGATACCTTCTTCCTTGTTTTTTTATCTTTTGTAATGCTGGCTTAATGGTCACAGATTGCTTTAGTTTATACTTAACATGTTTTAACATGTTTAGTTTGTGCTTAAC